CCACCCATCCTATTCGGCAGATTCGGCTCCCAGCGACTATCTTCACTTTCTTAAACTGAAAAAGTGGCTCGCTGGAAAAATATTTCATAATAATCTTTTCAATTTCAGCGTGGAAATAAACAACTACTTTGAAGGCTTTGAAGCTGTACACAATCAAACCGGTATCGAAATGTTGGAGATCCATTAAAATACTTTCTTTATTCTAGTTAAAAGCACTGCCTGAATACAACATTTTTTCTCCTCTCTTCCACCAAACCAAGGTAAGATTAATTTCAAACCTTGCTTTTGCCCCTTTTGCTCTATTTGTAATCAAGGTTTAAGGTTCAAGACTAAACTTGAAGAGCTATATAAACTGGCTACATAACGACAAATTCATAGTTCAGGGAATTACTTATTTGAAGGCGCACAATAGCACGTAAACTCTGAGCGCGGTATAAACTGTCGATGGTGAATAAAGACACACCCGCTAGAAGGAGAGGACACAAAAATCTTCAATTTCACCCGTGGACAAGTGGTATTTCAAGGTTGCTGAGAATGCCAAGCATAAAATACCGAGGAGTCCCTCTATAGTCTTTCTGGTTTAACCTAACTTGATTGAGACTAGTGAAGGGATATCTCGACTGCTTATCCCTGGCGTCGAGTTACTTCAAGATTGGACTGGTCACAGAAGAATTTCAGGAAACTGCAAGGCTGTTATGCTTTCTAGGTCAGGCACTTTCGTTTCACTAGCTACAGAATGGTAGCTCCACTGGCTTCTTTCGGTTCACTCCTCGATAGGTCTCACGTGAGCTTGGCAAGTGCTGGTCAAATACTAGTAACTGTACACTGGCAATGTCCTTTTGACCCAGGGGAAATAGTGACAAGTCTAGTGAGCTCCTCACCTTCAGCAAAGTTCCCCCTTCAGTAGGTATAGGAGTTCTAACTGGACATTGCCCGATCGGGATACATGCAGTAAGATTGCAAATATTACCTGATGCCAGCAGCTACTTGGAGGAGGATGAGTTACAATCAACTCAATACTGTATTTTCGAATGCCCCGTCTTTGCCAGTTCAAAGATAAATTACCTCGGATCTCATACTGTTAGACATCCACGTAAAAAAGCGGCAATACCAATAAAGTATTTAAGAAAATTTGTGATATGGCTCAAGGACTTTTGTCGAGAGTTAATACCAAATACAGGAGTTCTTAGCTAGCTTCACAAAGCACTGTCTTTAGCAGTTTACCATAAGTGTGATCGCCAGCCATCTAAGGGGATGAGCCACCTAACCTAACCTAGCATAAAATCTGATCTCAGACTATAATGAGAATTAAATAAATTAAACAGGCATGTAAATAATAAGCCAACAGTTATTTTCTAAAGCAAACTAAAAACCCCAAAATAGTCCCTTCGCGAAAACCGCCTGTTTTCGCACGCTCTGACAACCGAATCACAGCGCTGGACAAGTTCTTAGGTCCTACATGACACTGCACTCATATTTGCGCATAAGCAGACTTATACAAGTGCACTCGTACATGCACTTGGGCGCACTTACTTACATTTGCAATATTTACTGCCACTTCGCCGGCGCTTTTGTTTGCGTTGTGCATTGTACAGTTATGTCTACATTGTTTCAGTCTGCGCTTTGAAGGCGGATACCGGAGCACAGCACGGATAAACACGCACATTTGCACAATAAATCTGTTTGTATAATATACGCGTGTGTGTGTGTAAGTGGTGTATGTTGTTGTTGTTTGTGTTGTGCGCGTTGACGTTATATATTATTTCCCTTTGCCTGCCATAATGAGTCAATGAGTTAAGAATGCTCGTGGCAATGATTTCATTTCATTGCCTGCTGCCAACAACAGTAAGAGCGGTGTGTGTGGCAAGGTGTGGCCGAGCGGTATAGCCGTGGCACACACAATCGTTGCATAATAGCGGGTTAATTGTGTTGTGCGTTATCGCCATGATTGAGAAATTAAAGCGAAATGAGTGAGGGGATTTGCGAAATTAACACAATTAAACTGAGAATGGCACGCCTAGGGGCATGGTTTTGCTGTTGGGCATGCGTACTCAATTGCAAAAGTGTCCTCAATATCGAGACTAATGTTCCGGTTCGCACGCACAGCGCATTATTGACAAGCAAAGTGCTGGTTAATGCACGTGAAAGGTTTCAGCAGACTCGAGGAATGCAAAGAGGAATATAGACAGTGAACGAAAGAGAGAGTGAGAGAGAGAGATAAAGAGGGAAAAAGAGAGAGATAGAGAGGAAAAGAAAGAGAGAGAGTCAGAGATTTGTGGTGTAGATTTTCATCACATTTCGGGAATTCCAGAATCCGGCGAAATAGGCAACTGAGCAAAAAACTTAGGTTGAATCCTAAAAAAAGAGCCCAGCTATGAAATATTTAATATTGTGGGTGTGGCCTCAGATCCCTTGAATTCAACTCAATGATTCAGTCACAATTAGTCGATTAATAAAGAACTCAACCATGTTATCTAATATGATGAAAAATGGTATCTAAGCCTTCCGATAGTCATTTTTGGCGCCTTACTTTTTAAAAGAACAAAACAACACCAAACGGATGACGTAGTGACTAAAGACATACTGGCAGTTTTGCGAAAAAACTGTTCTGTGAAAGCAAGCTTTATATAATGCTTGAAATGAGGCTATGGAAAAGAAAAACTCCTCCCACAATAAACATCAGTTCACGCAAAGGATTATTTGGATGAATACCACCAGTGACAACATCACTTATTGAGGTCGTTTTCAAGTTATCACAAGAAATGTTTTCTGATGCACATAGTGTAACAGTTTTGCAATAGTCCAAACACATAGTTCTGCAAACTTTCCCCTTCCCTCTTGACATTTAATTTTTCAAAAGAACGCGAACTCAATAACACCATCCAAATAGGTCTTTACTAAGAGTATTTCCTTGCCAAATCAAACGGATCTAAATAGCAGCAACATTAATGATTCAGGTATGTCCGGCTGATCTATCAGACGATCTCAATTTGCAAAAACGTATGTGTTCATACATAAATATATGTATAATTTATAGTAGCATATGCAATTTTTGAGGTTGGGAAATATATTGAAAATTAGTTCTGCAGCTTTTGAGATAACGTTCTGAAATTTTGCTTACGTCCTTTCTCTCCCCAATCGCTATCGGTCCACTATAGTATAGTATAGTGCAACAGATGTTAACGTTTTTTTATTTTTTATGTTTGAAAGTTTATTTAAGAAAAGCATATATGTTTTTCCTATATTTCTAACAATTTGTGGATTCCATCCTAAAAGAACTGCGCCGGCTTGGGGCACAAGAATTAATCAAGCCAATTTTTGATACTATGTTCTAATGTGAACCGTATTCTAGTGAGGACGGTCTTCATCGACCAGAACAATTGGCAGTTAGAAGGGGCAAGATCTGATTGTTATGATGGATATCTACTGCCTCGCGTCTAGTTACAAATCACGTCGGCAATCGCTCTCTTCATTAATGATTTCAACCAGTTTTAGAAGTGCATAATGCAACACCCCATTCTGCTCCCACAAAATACAGTGCATTACCTTGGCGTCAGGAGTATTCCGCTTTTTCGTTGATTTTGCCAGTTGGCCAGTTTTTTTATTTGTATTTTTTTGCGTTTAGGGTGGTCGTTATGTATCCATTTTTCAACATCAGTTACAATCCGAGGCAAAAACGACTTCGTTTTGTAGCGTTCAAGCATAATTTCAAACACGAATCTTTCAACGTGACTTGACTTAAATTCATATTGCCCCCAATTTCTTGGCTTTTGAAGTGACTCGCACAAATTCTGCGACCTCTTCTTGCGTTTGGCAATAATTGTGTTCGAGTTGCTCATATTTAAACCTTTTTGACCGCTCAGAATATTCTTCGTCTACCGAGCGAAAACCATCTTTTTTAAATCATACAAAATACTCCTGGCACTTTCGCTCAGCTAAAGCATCTACACCGACAAATTTCACCAAAAATACAATAATTTTCGGCTAAAGTTGTCTTCATATTAAAGTAATAAAGCAGAACTCCCTGCATAAACGCTTTCACTGACAGAAAGTTCGACGAATGAATGACATATACTGAAAAGGACACACAAGTACAGTAGCTCTCCCACGCATGTTCGGAATGTTGGAAAAATGAAATAATATCAAGTTACGACATATCAAAATATTTGAGGATAGAAAAAATTTTTGAAATTATGGAAAAACAAATCCTGAAAGTAAGTAAATTTAGTACCAAAAAACAATATTTATAAATTTATATTTATAAAGACGTTAAAAAAAGGGTAGAATTTTAAAAACAACCAGGTTAAATTGGCACCTTAAAATCATATAATAAAAAAGAGAAGAGAAAAAAATAAAGAGAAACCACATGTAACGTTAACAGCAACAGGTTAAAAAAAACTTTCGATCCACAAAAATTGCATGCCATATCCAACCTTTGACTAATTTTCAACTTTTACGGATCGCAATCACTTTTTTTGTAAAATCTCTGCGGCTGGTTGTCATTACGCTTGGTAGTTTGCAATCTCTGAGAACTCACCAAAAACTATTTTTACAAACAAATTGGCAACGAACAGTCGCAACATGGACGACAGAATTTGTTTTCTTTTATTTTGCATTTTCTCTTTTTTTTCTCTATACAAGTAGAATTTTATGCATTGCTGCTAATGAGCAATTTAGTACGCAGAGAGTCTGTGAGTTTGTGTCAACTACATGTGAGAACCACCCGCCGGCAGTATTTGGCGCATGTGTAACATTTGGCCGAGCAGCTGGTTAACTACAGTTTGACTACAGCAAACAACAATTGAAAGTTATGCGTTCGGACGAGTCAAACGCAGACACTCACGCATACACACAGAGGCATACTCTTGCATATGCTTTTGGACTCTTATGCTTCTGTGTGTGCGCTTATAAATAATACAATGTGTCTACTGCGATCTCTTGTACGTGAACTTAAGTGCGTGTGTCTATAAATGTATGTATGCGTTTGTATGTGTACTCACCTAATGCTGTCGCAATTAATGCGAGTCCACCGTGTCGTATGATGAAAATACGAAAGTTTATTACCCACAATTGGAAAAGTTTTGTATGTAATTAAAAGTTCCAAAATCGCTTCCAAGCATGTGGATCTTATTTGAAATTGCTCCTGCTCGTCAACCATATTCTCATCGTAAACTTTATTGATTAATAGCAGGAATGTCATAAAGTACTCCTCGAATTGTTGACGTGTGGTAAAGCCAAAAATTGATAATCTGCAATAATAGTAAATTATTGGTTGGTATTAAAAACGCCACTAACACAGGCATACGTACATGTGTATACAGCTATAGATACAGTATATATAAATATATACATATATAATATATACAAATAAATGAAGCGTTAATTGCCGCAACTAAGTTTGCGTAAAAGTAATAATTACATAGTTAATAAAATTAATGAGTCAATGCTATTGGCGACACCAGCTAGGATACCCTACAGACTGCTGCAGGAATTAATAAGCACAATTATGCCATAATGATATTAATTCACACTCGAGTAAAGAAAAATGTGGGCAGATCTCAAAAAGAGTATAAAAATTCGATGTGTAGTAGAGAACACGCTGCAAAGTAGCTTACATTGGAGAAGCGATTAACAGCCTATTGCATAAGGCAAGCGGTGTCTTATACATACATATAGTAGTTGATCTACTTGCCCGGCAACTGTAACACTATTTTGTATTTCGTATGGCTACTGATGGCATATAAATGAAAACTGTTATCAGCTATTTTTTTTTTGTATTTTTGAAGACCTCTATTTAAGGGGTATTCTGGTTAAGAAATTTTATTTTATTTTTTTGGCATTTTCGTATAACAAAGAGCGCTCGGGCACTTCAAAGCGCTCGGGAGCAGGTATCTAGCGGCAGCTGCAAGAAAATTTAAATGCGATATGTTTTCGAACTGGTGACAACTGCAGCTCGAAAACCGCTCAGTAGATTTTAATGAAATTTATACAGCTTTTAGAATACATAATAAACTCGGGCGTGATTGGAACCTTTTTTTTGATTTGGATTTTTTAAGACCAATTAACTGTTTATTTTTTCCCAATAATCTAGAAAAAAAAATTTTCTGAGGCCATTTTGTTAATTTTTGAAAAAAAAAGCTCTAATCAGGCCCAGGATTATTACTATATAAAACTAATTTTTTCTATCCGATTGATTTTAGATGAATCTTCAAGTACTTATGATTGTCACCGCAAGGACCTTTTTTTGGAACTGGGTCAACACAGACAGCTATAACTTTGGGAATTAAATTTTTTTTTTTGAAATTTTCGGGACTTTAAGTCAAAACATTGTATAATAATGCCCTATTACTACTTTTATAAAATAACATGATTTAATAGCAAAAAAAATGGGTACAGATGGCACCCGATTTCCTTTGGCATGTACACCATAACTTCCACCAATATACGATGACTTTCTTCTGACGCGCGGTTCGAATTCTGGAAGTCTTATTTGATCCAGTACTGTCACTTTGATAGCATTATTTTAATTATTTGAACAATATTTTATGTTCTTACAATAACAACATGTTATGCTTTGCTTCAATGGATTTTTGTACATATTTTGTACGGTTATCTTTCAAATTTTCTGCTTTCACAGAAATCATCGCTGCAGTTATCTGCTTGAAGCAAAACCATCGCCTAGAAACACCAAGAGAACTTTCATACAATACGTCGATGAAGTACAGCAATATATCGACATAGTTGCGGAAGCGACTAACAGCAGACGTGTACTGAATGCCAAGCATAATGGAGCTATTAACATTTTCAGTGACTCCCTCGCAGTAAATGCCGTCCTTGGAGTCCAAAAACCACCTATGCATGAGCTCGAGTTGCAGCCTGAAACCAGTCTGACCTTCGCGTTCTGTATATTGTTCTATACTACTTCAATTAGTTTTGGATATTGTTGTATACCAAACTCTAGATAAGAACCTGACATACACACTCACCTAACACTATTTTCCCTAATTTCCGACCTCGTCGAAATAGCCCGTTTTTTAGACCTACTGAGACCTAAACAGAGTATAAGTATTCGCTACAACAACAACGGAAGAGGGAGAAGATCACTTTATAAGACAACTTCTAACAAAATGAAACACGATTGGCATTACCATGCATTCTTTGTCGACAAAAAAAATGATTTTCTAAACCAATAAATACTTCGATAAAGGTTTACTTCTTGAATTTACCAAACGTTAAATAGGCGAAATGTCGACTGACAAAGCAAATATTTTTTTCTGCTTTTCGAGCAAGATTATTCCTAGAAGTTCAATTTTGTTTCTATTCACTAAGAGTAGTGAAGAAGAAAGGTATAAATTTTAAAGCTACTAAATATTATATAATATAATATATCGAAAACTTAAAAGTCCCAAGCCGATACAAAAATTTCTAATATCCAACCATTTTTTGTAAGCATCTTATTTTAATAAATTAAAATATACATATGTGCGCATCTGTGTTGCAACAACATGCACATGTTGCAACAATGTACAATTTGTCTCTCCTTTTCAGTGCACGACTTCACACAATTCCGTCTTGTCTCATGTTTGCAGTGTCACTGACATTTTGACAAGTTGTCTCCAACAGCAGCGCTACTACTAGAAGCGGCAACAACAACTAAACCGAGACCAAGACATGAAATATCAGGATGATAAGAACCATGTTGTTGTTGAGATGCGGTTGACAATAACTTTGGCAGCCGAAGTAGGCAAAATGGAAACTAGTCAACTAACAGTAAATGTTAGAGTATGAAATTTGACTACTGTGATAAATTAACTATTTTCATAAGTTAGAGTCTTTAGCACCTCTCGGAGCAAAAAGTCCCACATAACTCATTGCACGTTATATAATACTATGACCTTAAAAATAATAATTTCCCTGCATATGATGTGCTTATTAAGCTGATGCAACAGCAATGCAATTATGTAGCTCTACTTTCAGAATCAACTTACAGAGAAGAAAATTTGCGAAAAATGTAATGTTTGAAGAGCCGCAAAATTGAAGCTTACCTCTTCACGAATTTCCGAAGCACATCTACATCACTGAGACTTTCCACGGGAATCGTTGGCAGCTTGCCACTCGAAGCTGCTGCTGCCGAGGTTGTTGTTTGTGACGTTTGGCCAGCACGTTTGGCAGGTGACAATTGTTCGATACGCAATTCGCGTTGTTGTTGTTGTATTATTTCGAATGGCGTTACGGCGTATGCATAAAACTGATGCGTGCGCAACACGGCGACACCAATCATGGACAAAATGTGCTGAAAAGAGATGTAAAAATGAGGTATAAGAAGTATTACAGCTCAAGAAGACAACCAAAACAAATACAAAAAAAATATCATACGTTTTGCATTTCTCATGTACCCATTAACTTACCATTGGTATTGGGATGCCACACGCGTTGCTACCATTGTCGAACTCCGTACGTACACCACTCGCTGCACCACCACCAACGGCACCCGTAGCACCTGCGGACATACCCATGCCACTGCTGCCACCGCCATTCAATGCACCACCGGCGCTACCCAACGAAAAGATGCCGTTACCTGTGCTACCCGTGAGATAAGCGGTTGAAAGGTGTGCTGCGCCAATCATCGTCTCTGCCGCGCGCATCTCTATCAATTTCGCTATGAAAACAGCCTGCGGTGCATAAGCTTGCAACAGCCGTCCGACGGCAACATCACTGACTTCCGCTTCGTTGCTTTTTGTTTGTAAAGCGCCCTCCAGCGCCGTGGCAGCCGCTGCCGCAGACAAAGCATTGAAGATATTCTGCTGTTCACTGTCAATGGGTGCATCGCCATCGGCACTTCCTCTGCCGTCGACCAACATCGCTTGTTGCTTGTAATGCTTGTAGAAGATGGTGTGTTGCAGCGACTGTCTGGCGGCCAACACCAAGACGTCCAGCACACGGCAGAGCAATAAATTGCGCTGTTGAGGCGACAAGAGACTGCCAGCAGTGGTGGAATTCGACGTAGCGGCATTGCCATCCGGCGTTGCTGTTGTTGTCGATGCGGCGCTTGGCTTTTCCATTTGATTAAGTTCCATCCAGACGAAGCGCTGTTGCAACAGCGCCGCAATACATTGCAACAATGCAAGCGTAAATTGTTGTTGTTGACATTGTTGCTCTTGCTGTCGTTGTAACAGTTGCTGCGCTTGCAAGCAACACCAATTCAAGAAGCCTAACAGTGTTGCCATATGTTCGTGCCGCAAAAGTTGCTCACGCACAAACTTATCAATGAATCTGGACTCGATGTAAAGCAACGCAGTGTCCTCTACTTTCTTTACATGCTCCAACAGTGTGGCCACACTGTCGCACAGATAAAAACCATCATCACTTGCCACATGCACCTGAGTCTCACCGCTTATCGGCACCACCTCCGCTGCAACACCTGCGCCCACTGTTGCTATAATTGGTATGTATAAGTCGCCGCTTCGGCTGGCTGCTGCAGCAATTTCCTCGCTAATGCGTGTCATCAAGACGGCCAGCGTAACGCGCACTAATGGATTCGGTTGCATGTAGTGTATATGTGAATTATGCTGTATGCAATTGTTGCGGAAGGCGGCCAGCATTGCTTGCATTGAGCTTGCAATTGCATGCGGCAACACTCGCGCCACCGCAAACTCACTGCTGTTGAATATTTTGTAGAGTTTTTGCTCGGATTGTATCTCCAGTAGTATGCGCGATAGTTGTTGGGCGCTATAGTCTGATTGTGCGGAGAATTTAATTAACTGCGAGTGGTTAACGGAAAGAAAACGAGCCGTCGAAGTGTATAGCGGAATGGCAATTTGTTTGCGAGCAGATTACAAGAGGAAATATGGAAACAAAAAAGAAAAAGAGAATATATTTGTTTTAATGCAGGTATATAAAAACATTAGCAAGCAATTAATAGCTGTGGCACCAACCCACGTAAAATAAATGCATTCTGAAAACAATCGGGTCCACATGATATAATTCATGAAGACACTTTGTCCGCTAGAGTTAGGAAACGCTTTTTGAATCATAGAATCATCGAACCGGAGAAAACTATTCAGCTCTGAGCAGTTTAATCGGCGGTAGTGAAAGGGCCGCTAACTATACAATCTCTTGCTCTTCGATTGAAATATATATTATATTTTCTATGGGTAAAGAAATATATGCTTTTATGTTCTCAACTGCAAGTGAAACCAGTGGAGGCATCTAAGAATTATACTTCACTTCGAGAATCGATTTGTATCATAAAATAATCGACTTTTCGGAGTCGACCTTTACTTTCCTAAATCGAGGAAGTATCGATTCCTGGCACACGATTTTACGGTTAGGTAACTAGTTTTAAGTTCGGCATACCATCGACAGGTCGCTGACCTCTGCTTTTTCTACAAAGTATTCAATAACATTACTGATGCTCATGAGATCCTAAACAGTTTTGAACTCGCCCCTGCTGGTCTTACCCTGAGGCGAAATAGATTACTAAAAACATCGAAATCCAAGAAAAATTGTGTTATCCATGGTCCTCAGAATAGACTGGCTAATTTAGTAAATTCACTTCAAGGTGAAATTGATTTCTATGCAACTGAAGTGTATATATAAATTATTGATCTTTTAAATTAGAATCGATTAAAATCGAAAGAATCGATTCTTGTGCTCAAATAATTGATTCTTAGGATCGAAAAATATAAAATCGAAAATATATAATCGAGAATCGATTCTTTATAAAATTTTTCCATTGCTAGTAGGCAAACTTATGAACCTGACTCGGGTTAGTGGCACAGTATCAAGTTAATATGAGGACTTGTTGCGCAATCACATCAGAGTACTAGCGCGAACAATAAATTCTTAGTTTCAAGAGGTAGAAAAGCAGAAGAAGGTCTTTGAATATAAACTTGATCAATTTTTTTTATAGCTAAGAAAGAAACCAATTTTTTTAACTGCCTAGACAAAGTTTTCGAAGATCAGGTCGGTTATCTTTTATAGCATTGCCGTTATCCTTATTATTGCCCTGATTTGGAATGGTTGTTTCATGCTCGCCTTGAAAATATCGAAATACGTTCACATGATAATTGAGTTTTAGGCACTGGAAAAATGGTGTATAACCAAGTTAAACGATGAAGAAACAAAACCTATACATCTCCTCTCTGAGTAGAACTTTGGTGGGATTCAACATACTCCAGATCATGTTTCTCAAATTTATAGATTTTTCGGGATACGACTATAAGCTAAAAATGAGAAACATAGATTGCAATGAACTTTTCAAAGTTGCGAAAGGTGGCAGCAAAAGACAGTAAAAATTATTTTCACTACTCTATATTGAATATCATCGATTAGACAAACATTTAAAAAAATATGATATATGTATATACTTTTTGTTTTTAAATACCGTTAAGTTTGTAAGGTTAAACTGTTCTAATTTAAAATGGTATTGCCAGATCGCTATTTCATATTTTCAAAATTTGGAATATTTAATGCAATTTTGAAAATCAATGCAATGGACAGCTTAATTGGGTATTTCAAGATTGACTGAGAAATTTGATAATATTTTGTTATGACTGATTTAACAATATTTACTTCACATTTGTATACCCAGAACAGGTTATATGTATTAGGTATGCCACGAAGTTTGTAACACACAGCAGGAAACGTCGGAGATCCAATAAAGTATATATATTTAAATGATCAGCGTGACGAGCTAAGTAAGATTTAGCCATGTAAAAAAGACCCCTTTGCTATATTTGTGCGCTCGTCAATATCTATACTATTATTAGTAAAATGAGAAGAAAACGGCCAGTTAAGTTGCTTCTTGATTTGAAACTTTGAAAATGTTATCCGCTTGAAGTTTCGCTAGGCCGCCGGGAACCACATTCCTTCTGCCATATCTGAGCGATGCATGTAAAAGCTTTGCACGAACAAGCCGAATCAAAAAAAGATAGAAAAAAATGCCAAATATCTTTAAATATGCAGCCAACCAGCTCGAGGCGCCAAGCGGGCGAGCGGGTGGCGGTGCAATTTTTCGCCAACATTTATTTTACTTTGGATGATTTTTATTCATCTGTGCGCATTGGCTATCACTACACACACACACTTTAATATATAAGTTCGTTTATAACTAGATTAACTATGGTTATATATGTTTGTATATGTATGTTTGTTCACTTCGTTGCGGGCGCTGCAGGACACATACCACAGTGGTCATAAGCGTTAATTGCATCTCGAGGAATATTTCTACCGTATGTGGTGTCAAACTATTTGATATTGCCGGCAGCGCATCATCAGCAATACAACCAAAACCAAATCAACATGAACAAACACAGTCCGACAGCGCTCAAAGTTACGGCAGCCTGAGGCAGCTCGAAAGCTATTGATAAAGATGTGGGAAATGCCATGCTAATGCCGCTGGCCAAAGTGCCCAACAGCACAACAAAACAAAACACACAACAACTCACAGCGGCGCAGCAGCAGCCAACGATGCACAAAATCAAGCCTTTCATACGTTGGCACGGCAAATGCCACTGCTGCTGCACCTCGAACTTTTCAACGATAATGATGCGCTATGAATGATTGAATCGTAACGGCAGCAACAACGACCACACTACAAATGATACTGCCACTCGCCACGGCAGACGTGGCGGCAACAACTATACACTCGACAGCACTTCCTTCCTTCCGCTGGCCGCTTTGCGCATTTCAAATTGCTGTTGAGCAAACTTCGTCTATGTCATTACAACAAATATTGGTAGTTCAAAATAATACGCCGAAGTTATTCAATTTAATTATGCTGCTTACATGCGGCATGCAACGATTGCCACCATGTTGTGGCACGAGCGATTGGCTGTGCATGTGACATTGGCGGTGCTGAAGTGCTGAAGATGCCGGCGTCGCCGCCAGTTACTGCTGTGACGTCTTCGTTGCTGATAACATACCGTTAATACCACATTGCCTGACGACGTTGATGCCACAAGGGGTGCTGCCACTGCGTATGCGTGTGGGGGATATATCATACAAGGATTTGCACGATAGTGAATGCATTTACGAGGTAAGCCAACGACGTCCCTTTCAGTCACTAGCGATGCAGTGTTGCGCATTATTTCGAATTTAGCTTTATTGCATTCTAGTTGAGCACAACATACATATGTAAGTTTTGTTGTCATTTGGTATTGGCTATGCGTTCCTCCTTATGTAAGCAGTTTCCTGTCCATCCACGAGCCCCACATGTGGCCTTAAAGTGTGGCGGAAATAATATTTGTATAACATGGTATAGCTACTACCAATTTCGCCAAAATATTATCTAAGTTATCAAAGTAGCAAAGTACCATATTTCTGTGCCAATTAAGTTAAAAATTTGCATTCGTGGCACAAAATCAACTAATAACGAGGTCCCTTTTGAGTATAACGGAAATCGTTTTATGACAAATGGTTGATATATGTACAACGTGATCCAATAACAACTACAAAATATATAATGTTTGGTTCCAGCAGAAATTGACCCTACTTTATTACTCAAGTTAATTTTTGTATCTGATATTTTACAGTTGGTTAGTCCTTACATTTAGCACTGATAACAAGACTATCCGAAAATCCAAATCCTTCAGGTTTGCTAACAACAAGGTGGCACACATTGGCACACCTCCCATGGCACTAAAATTAACAGGAAATTTAAGACAAAATAAAAATATCTAGAAAAATAATGCTAAGGCAAACAAATCAGTAATTACAAAAAAAAAACATAATAAACCATAAAACAAGCAAAAACATTTACTTCGGTTGCAACGAAGCTAGAATACCCTTCACAAATACAAAAGATTCCTTACATGACTTTGATCGTTCAGTTTGTATGATAGCTATATGCTTTAGTGGTCCGATATCGAACCGTTTAGTTAAATGAGCAGCTGCTGGTTGAAAAATTTCAGATCGATATCTAAGAAACTGAGGGACTAATTAGCATATATACAGACAGACGGACGGACAGGCGGACATAGCTTCCCGACTGATCGTCACGCTGATCATTACATACAGTTGATTGAAAAGTTCTCCCGCTCGAAATGTAAAAATACCGTTTTGGTACGAAATACATTTTTATTCAATATAAACTCCCTTAACTTCAATCACTTATTCCAATGATCCCAATAATTTATGCCATCCTATGACTTTCCGGAAACTCAGCAAAATACCCTCTACGGCTGTAGTTAGTTACTTCATTCGACGAAAACGCATTTCACGAACGAATTGTTCAGGTTTCTGAAGAGGTGGTAGTCGCTCAAGCAATTCATACTTTAATACGTTGAATTTTGTCATTGTTAAGACACCTTTACAAGCAGGTGCATTGTCTTGCTGAAAAATACTTTTTGTGCTCAAACCAAGTCTTCTCACGAATTTTTATTCAGCTGATCCAAAAGGCTGCATAATATTCAGACTTATTGTTTTACTTCTGCAGATAATAACAACAAAATTCCTTTTGCATCCCAAAAATGATGCCATAACTTTATTTGCTTTGGTGATTTCACCTGCTTGGAGCTGAACAACCTGCTGTTAGCTTGTTAACGTGTGCGGCACTAACTTTCCAAACAGCTTTTGTAATTCTCCAAGTAAAATATGAAGTGCTTTGCTCTTGAGCTGCCTATGGCATTACAATTTCCCTTAGTCAAACTTGGATCTTCACTAAAAATATCATGAACTGCTCAAGGATTTCTGGTGTGGTTGGTTTGGTCGTCCTTCGGTGGATCATCTTCATTAGTTTCGTCGTTTAAATTCACCAGAAAAATTCAAGTTGCTTTTGAGTGAGGACTCCTTTACACCTCTAACAATTGTTCTAAATTTCTTTTGCTATTAAACCTTTGAAAACAGAAATCTAGTCACTAAGCGCTCATTATTTTTCATATTAAAAAGTACTCTGACACGTCAACTGCAAACGGTTTGTAAACAAGAATTATTGACAGAATGACTTGTAACACGACAGATGTACCAACTTGAGAAAAATTGGAGCTAGTAGTGCTATTTCTTGGTGAAGCAGACACTTTTATCCAACCTGATAATACTTTATAGGGTTCTGACGTGTCCTTTTCGACATCAGAAACATCGTGGCAAATAGGGAACAGGGTATGGTTCAGGGTATAAAATCAAGGTTCGGTCAAGAGATTAACACATCTGAAAAACTAAAAATGTTAAAATTTTGAAAGTAATATGAAAAAGCGTATTGTTTTACTATTTTATATTTAGTTGGGTATCCATTTTGGGAAATTACGGATGTACATCTTCTCGGCTTGAATGACACTAAATCCGCGCAGATGTCATTGGGTATTTTCTGCCATTCCTGTTGAATAACTTTATCGTGCACTGTTTTCGGTTTGGAGTCATGACTCGTTGTTGCTCGTGTTGTTATTGCACACAGATTTTCAATTGCATGATGCCTTCACTCTGGCACCCAATTCAGCAACGGAATTGCCTGGTTTTGGAGCAACTGTATCACAGCGAATAAAGTTTTCTAATTTTTAAATTTTTTTAAATTTTTTTTTATTTTTTTTATTTTTTTTTATATTTATTTATTTATAAGTGTCCATTTGACATTTTTTTATTATTCTTTTATTTCATTTCCGATTTTCAGTTTTCTCTAAATTAATTGTGACTTTTTATTTGCAAATTTAATAACTTAGTGCTAATAATCAACCATCCTACAAACAATTATTTTTATAAAATGTCAGGCCTTCGTATTATATATATGTTCTCGTGAGAAATTGCTGCTACACCAACTTTACATTTCAAGAGAGGCGGCGAGTAGGCTTTCATTCCGGCGCTGTTCAGCCATTTCACTTAGTGTGTCAGTTGCTGAATGCCAATTTCGCTTCGTTCAAATTGCACTACAATTTCGTGTTTTTCACTCTATTTGTCTCTTTAGCTTCTTCTTATTCCCAATCAAGCCGCTTTCGTCAACGCCATGCATATGTAATTTCCGTTCTCACTAGCCGTTGCAATTTGTGCAAGGATAATACAATAATTTTGCTTGACGACTACTCTCGAATTCTTAAAATAGACTTTAAGCCTATTGGCGGCATGCATAAAGCCAGTGCGAAATGAATCCGAAAAGGGTGTCAAAGTGCAGGGAAATCGTTTATGCACTTTAAACTTTTACGTGCGCACAAACGCGCAGCAAGTTGACGTGCATGTCTGGTATGTGTGTGTGCGTATATATGAGTATATTCTCTTGTTTGTGTGTGCTCGCTTTGCGCTAGTTTCGTTTCCGCTTTCATTTTGCGAAATTCTCTAAACGGAAATGTGTCAAAATTGCATGGAGCATATAATGTTGTTACTCATACGCACCCGCGCACCAACTGAGCCCCACATTGAGTGTGCCACGCTCATAACTTCACATGTGCTGCGCTTGTGTGTGTCAAAGTCACAGAACGGCAGCAGTCTGTTATTAACGCGTTCTATCTCCGCTACATGCTCTTCCATGCCTTCACATACACAACGCATGCATATGTACATATTATCTCCGCGTATTTTATTTTATTTTATTTTTTTTTGGTAGAATTCATCACTCTGCCATTTAGTCAATTTCTGCAGCTCGAATCTTGAGCTTAGGCGGTATTTTGCTCCCAGCGCCGCATTTAATTGCTGCCTTCATGTTCATATTAAACTGCACGCTGCTTGCACTGTAACTATTGCTTAACATGCGCTTGATGTGTCTAACATAAAAGCCTGCATATGCCTTAGTAACTTCGTCTTTGTATTGCTCATAATGGTCAAACAAATTTGGCTCATTTTGAGCTACTTGTCGGCATTTGCCTCGTGAAGGCATATTCGTATGTATGTTTGTACATATGATTAGAATTGTAAAACTTTTCACAGTATAAAGGCCTTACAATGGACCTCTGAATGGATTTCTAAAAACTTCATTGCGGAATTCCACTCGAAGTTTACTATTGCTTGCCGTGCACATTCGCTAAGAAAATCACTTTTACAATAATTTAGCATTCTCCAAATAATTATTATAAATGCTGCTGAGTAGTTTGTCCTGGCCGGACATATATTTATTTATATGTATGTAGTATTTTATCGTTAGGAAACCTTTTAAATTCGACTGGCGTTTTGTATCTTACAAATCAATATGAAAACAAATATAACTTTCTAAAATATTATTTATATCCGATAATTTCAATTTTATAAATTAATTCTAATGAAGAGTGTTAATAATTCTAAGCGGAAATAATTTTAAAGTAGGACAATTGCAATCAGTACAGCATTTGTTGTGGAATATTGTATGAAACTATTTTTGTATATATTATGGATATCTATTACCCTTTAAGATTTATTATTTAATATTGAGAATATCTTTTCATTGCTTCCATGCTCGTCATTCAACCCAGGAGTTGTCTGTCTTTCTGAAGTTTACGTATAGTAGTTATCTATGCGTTTTGCTTGGCTTCACACGCGAGTACCGAATTTAAAAACCTCATCACAGCGCTATGTTCTTATTTGCGGCGCTAGAATCAACGTTTTCGTTTGCTATCGAATCACCTTGGCATATTTTTGTGAAATTGATCATCTAACATCTAACAGAGTCTAACAGAGCTCACTTAAAAATACCTTTGCCTGGTTAAACTTATTATTTAGTACAAATCCATTTTGTACAACTTACCCGCAGTTGTACTGACCTTCCACTCAGCGTGTTTGACGTGAGATTTGTTTCTTCGAATGCTGTAGTAGGAGTATAGTATAGTAGTAGTATAATTCCTTAAATTTAACCAAAATTATTTGATGTATTTATTTATTGAATTAAATTGACCAGCAATTGCCAGAGTAACTTATTCATTATAAATGAATGATAGCAGCATGTCTTTGCTAAATTAAATGCGCCACAACTACTAGGCACAACTTTATAAAAAGGTTAAGGTCGAAGATGTGATCAAAATGTTTGAAACTTAAATATTCTAGTATAAAAAGTTTTTGATGCATACAAATTTTCTTTTCTATTTAACATTAAAACCAGTTGTCAACAATAACAAAATCTACTCAGTGAGTATTTTGATAGAAAATTAA